TGAACCCAGGAGGCGGAGGTTGCGGTGAGCCGAGATGGCGCCATTGCACTCCAGCCTGGGTAACAAGAGTGAAACTCCGTCTCAAAAAAAAAAAATAAATAAATTAAAAATTAAAAAAGAACTTTTCCTTTGCATTTGTAACTTGGCTGACTGGTGTAAGAGGCTTAGCTTTCAGCCTGTCTCCTGTGTTGGTATGTGCCTTCCTCACTAAGCTTAATCATTTTTGGCTTTGATTTAAAGTGAGAGATGTGCAGCTCTTCCTTTCACTTAAACAGTTAGAGGCCACTGTAGGGTGATTAATTCACCTAATTTCAATATTGTTGTGTCTCAGGGAGTAGAGAGGCCTGAGGAGAGGGAGAGATGGGGAACAGCTGGCCGGTGAAGCAGTCAGAACATAGACGTTTATCGATAAAGTTCACTGTCTTCTATGGGTGCAGTTTGCGGCGCCCCAAAACAATTACAATAGTAACATCAAAGATACTGATCATAGATTACCACAACAGATATAATAATAATGAGAAAAAGTCTGAAATATTGCAAGAATTACCAAAATGTGACACAGACACAAAATGAGCACATGTGGTTGGAAAAATGGTGCTACTTGCTCCACGCAGAGTGGCCACAAACCTTCCATTTGCAAAAAATGCAATGTCTGCAAAGTGCAACCGAGTGAAATGCAGTAAAATGAGGTATGCCTGTATTTGAAATGATGGATTATGAAAAATATTAAAATAAACTTGCAATATTAGGAAAGTGCAGAGGAAAGTTTAAAACTTTCTGCTTAATTCGGCAAGATTTTTAAAAAGTGAAAGGTTGTAACTTGTCATTTGATCATACCTCTTTGCTGATTCCTGGATTCATATGGTTCAAAGTCCAAAAGGTTCTTGAGGGTCCCTCCTCTCACTGCTCCCACCTACGCGTTCCTCTCCCTGGAGCAGAAGTGTGTCCTGTTTCTTGGATATCCTTTCAGAAAAATGTACATTTACTTCTGACTTTAATGCTTGTTTCTTTTACCACAGGACCTTATGGATTTTCTGAACCCAAACGGTAGCGACTGTACTCTAGTCCTGTTTTACACCCCGTGGTGCCGCTTTTCTGCCACTTTGGCCCCTCACTTTAATTCTCTGCCCCGGGCATTTCCAGCTCTTCACTTTTTGGCACTGGATGCATCTCAGCACAGCAGGTATCTTCCCTTGGTGGGGTTTACGTCCATCCTCCTGGCTGATGATTGCAGCTATTTAGAGGTCCTAATTAGATAAGTTAGAAGCAGAGGAGGGGGGCATGAACTTTGTCCTGGGATTAAAGGCAAGGCAAGAGTGAATAGTGAGGATTGTCATACTCCTGAGAGAGCTGGTGGCATCACTTTGTGGAGGCCTCTTAAAGAAAGTGGGCTGTTCTCTGTGTGGTGGATTTAAAAGTGGCAGGTGATGGCACCTGATGGCAGGAGATGGGCCAGAAGACTTTTGAGGGCCATGGCCAGACTGAATCAGCACAGTCGGTATCACAGTAGGCTATTCCTTTGTGACTTTACTGCGAAGGTTAAATCCCCATCCCAGGCAGCCTAATTCCCAGCACCCCGGTTTTATGTCTACTCAAGATTTGTCTTTCCTTTTCTTTTTCTTTTTGAGATGGAGTCTTGCTCTGTCACCCAGGCTAGAGTGCAATGGCATCATCTCAGCTCACTGTAGCCTCTGCCTCCCAGGTTCAAGCAATTCTCCTGTCTCAGCCTCCTGAGTAGCTGGGATTACAGGCATGCACTACCATGCCTGGCTAATTTTTTTGTATTCTTTTAGTAGAGACAGGATTTCACCATGTTGGTCAGGTTGGTCTCGAACTCCTGACCAACCTCAGAGTTGATCCTCCCACCTCGGCCTCCCAAAGCGCTGGGATTACAGGGGTGAGCCACCGCTCCCAGTCTCCTTTTCTTTTTCTTTCCTTCTTTTCCCTTTCCCTCTTTCCTTGTTTCTTTCCTCTGTACTTATTTTTTTTTTTTTTTTT